AGCCGGTCCCTTTGTGATCAGCACCGTCAGCCTCACGGTATCTCTGCCTCGGCCACCCGGACTCCTCCTCGGGCACCCAGGCCCTCCAGGCTCTGACGGGGCCCCTCTGACCCTCCCTCCGTCTGCCCACTCCCACCGTGACTTCCAGTTCAGCTTGGTTCATCAGTGCTTGAAATGCCTTCGAACACTGCGGTCGATGACTCTGGCATAGTGCTTTGCAATATGCTTCATGATGCTGTGATGCAGGCACCCAGTGCCTGAGACCTGTTCTGAAGATAGAGCCGAATCCTGAGAACTTGAACAATTTCTTCCGGAGCAAATATCCAGGGTGGACAGCGACAACCAGGGCCCTGAGGTCTTACTTGGAGGGAAGGTCAGAGAAGAGGGAAGATGGTCTTCTGTGGCTTCAGTGGTGGAGGAAGCGACCAGACCCCAAGGCGTGTGGGCCACCATTTGAGCAGAGAAGGCAGCCCTTCCCCAGCAGGGCTGCAGAAGTTCAGTTCTGCGGACTCATTCATACTCTACCCTCCAGAAACGTGAGCTAGCACATCTGTTTTAAGTCCCCAAGGTTGTGGTCATTTGTTTCAGCAACGGTAGGAAACGAGCGTGACCGTACACCCCTTTTCCCGGTGTCTGTGGTGTGAACTGTGCGCTCACTCACACACGGCACTGAGTGCGCACCCCTGAGCGAGGCCGGTGGTGAAGGCAGCCCCGCCCTGGAGCTGCATCGTTGCTCACAGGAACAGGTGCTACCAAACCGTTTGATGTGGCTCTCCCACCACACCCGAGGCCGGTGCCCCGTCACTGGCCCCTGAGGACCCTCCTGGACCCTGATAGGCTGTGTTTTAAGGATGAAAACCAGTACCAGTCGGCTCAACTGGACTATTAATTCAACTAGCAAATTTCCCACGGGCTCCCCAAAGCAGCTGCAGAGGCCAAGTGCATTGTGGGAGGCCATCAGGAAAGGGCTGCCTGCGCCCCCCAGTCTCGAGTGGAGACGGGGGGGGGGGAGCTTCAGGGAGGAAGAGGGAGAGAGCTCCTCAAAGGCAGGGAAAGGCCCCCCCACACTGCCCTCACCATCCCCATAAAGCCCCGAGGCTTCTGCGGTCCCCCACCCGGGTGCACCAGCAGGTGACGCAGCCCCAGGAGGCTCCAGGCCTCCTGACTGGCCCAGGGGAGCTGCCCTGTGGGCCAGAAACAGGAGCCAGCAGGTCTGTGCCCCGGGGTCGGCCAGCGTCCAGTTCTTCAAGAAAAACCATCTCAAAATCAATAAACTTCCTCCTGAAGGACAAAATAAATTATTAAACTTTTCTGTTTCCTCTAAAAGTACACCTCTGTACAGGTAATTTATTATTTGCCTTCCTGTTTAATTAATATCCAGTTTAATATTTGGTTTGGGGGACTTCCTTGTCCCTCTGATTCAGAGGGTAACATGATGTCACTCAAGTGTGACACCATTAAACACCTGCTGTATCACAGGAGGTTGCCTGTCACTCGGCCAGTAGGGCACGAGTGTCAGCCACTGTCTTTCCTCGGCAGCCCCTTCCTTTCCGGGCACAGCCTTGGACACGACAGCCCCGTTTTCTCAGGTCTATAAACTGCACCTGCCCTCTCAGAACGAGCTCGGGTGCCGTGCGCAATGCCGGTGGGTGGCGCACAGCCACGCTTCCCGAAGACCGCCATCGGCGCAGTGCCTGGGAACGTCGTAGGGAGATTCGTGAATGCGCGACTGCAGTTTGACACCAGTGTTTCCTGTGTTCAGGTTGAAATGTCAGCATCCGAACTGTTAGCTCGAGATTAGTCCCACTGGGTTCCTGGGAAGAACAGTGTGTCACCTGGTCACTGGACGGCTTCCCCCATGATGTTCCTGAGAAGTCTTGTGTCGGCCTCGGTGCCCACCTGGTCGTGTGGTGTCCTGGGCAGCTTGGGGGCTTCTGGGAGCGGGAACGGGGGCCCGGGCTCTCCAAGGGCCTTGCCTGTCCCCCGGACTAGGTCTGCATCTTCTCTACCCTGTCCTCTCAGCCACTGCCTCAGCCTCTCTTTAGACCAGGAACGGCCTGTTCACTCGTCTCTTGATTTCTGAAGCTCAAAGCTGCCTCCGGGTGATTACAAGGAAGAGAAACTAGTGACAGTTCAGAGAAAGGAGACCAAAGTGATGGCTGACTAGGAGGAGAAACCTTAGAGGAAGTTTCCACATGCCATACTTTCTCGTTGTTATTGAAACAGGGTTTTACAAAGATATATTGATGTTTTCCCAACGCGTATGGAAATCAGTGAGAGAAAATGGGCTTACGGTAAACCAGAGGCATTTTAGCAGGCTACGCAAGCTCAATCCACTGAGCTACAACAGCCAGGGCTGAAAACAAGTTTTGATGGAGAAAATAATTTGTATTTTCTTTCACCATCTCAGCTTAAAAAATTATTTTCAGGTTTTTGCAATTTACTGTAATAAATTTTGAATTGATTCTTCACTAGTATTGTTATAACATCATAGGTCTGCATTGTTATAACTAAAAAACAACAAAGCAATTTGGTAATAATGTCAGTTTTCAAATTCTCCCACTGGAGCAAAAGGAGACAAAAATGTATGCATCAAAGATTGGAACTTAATAATTTTCAAAGTAAACTTTATACTTTGCTTTCACATTAGATTCAGGGATATGCTATTATCCTTATGTGAAAACAAATTTTAAGTTTTGTAAACAAAAATATGACAATGTAATTAAACTTCTGATTATGGAGTGAAATTAAAACATAAAAACATGTTTTTATAATAAAAATCTGAGTGATGAATTTTAATGTTTCTTTTAAAGAAATAGCTGGAAATCAGAGATGTCATAATTGACCCAGAAAATACCAGTACAAATCTACTAAGTGCAGATACTTGGCAGTTGTTAGGGATTCAAATACGGAAAAATGAAGTTTCTCATCTTGAGGGACTTACGTGATTTTATTTACTTATTTTTAGAGGGGAAGGGAGGGAGAAAATAGGGAGAGTCCCTCACTCGCTCCCAGCAGACCCCTCCTGGGACCGGCCAGCAGCCCGGGCCCTGCACTCATGGGGCATCAACCGGCCCTTCCACTGGTGGGTCAGTGCCCAGCCTGCTGAGCCAAACCGGCCCGGGCTGGCACACAGTTTGCAAACGGCACTGCTGACAGTCCTACATAAATGCTGAGGGCCTGGCTATTTTGTCTCTCGGCAGTGGCTGTTCTAAGGTATAAAAATGAGGAATTTTACAGGTGACAACACGCAGACCCTGAGAGGTGCGTTCCGTGTCCAAAAGAACAGAACTTGCAAATGGCAGAGCCAGGCTCAGACACCTTCCAGGGACCCAAAGCGAGGGGTTCCCTCTGTCAGAACTGCTGCAATCACACACGAAGACTGGCAAATCCAAAAACGAGACACTTTGGGCAAAATGCTCCAAAGCCATTTTGCTCCCCTCTGACTAACAGGAGACAGACCAGGCTTGGCCTCAGGAGGCGCCCCTCCGGGAGTGCCCTGTGGGAGGCAGTGTGTCCCACCCAGGAGTGCGTCTCCCTTCTCTCCCCCCAGCCCCTCACCAGGTTTATACAGGGCTGGGCAAAAGCAGGTTTACAGTTGTGAGTACATGTGGCACAGTTGATTCTTGTGTCATTAACTACCGTATTGTTAATATTTCCCACACACAACTGTAAACCTACTTTTGCTGACCCTGTATATGCATGGCCTTTGCTGTTCACCTGAGGGGCCTGGGACCCTGTGGTTCTCATGGGACCTGGCTCCCTCTTTATGGGATTTGGCCTCACAGGGACTCAGGTCTAGAGGTCCACCTGGCACGAACCTGCCACTATCTGATTGGAGGTGGCTGGAGGTGGGCTGGCACAGTGAGCCACACCTGCTGCACCTGCTGAGTCACCAGCAGCCCTCTGGCGCCCACAGGTGCTTGGGTGCTTTTCTGGAACATAGGCCCCGGACCTAGGGCACCTTCCCACTGGCTGCCTGCAGGAGCAGCAGCCACCTGCAACCCTGTCAGGTCTGCGTGTCTTGGAGTTGGCCCGAACAGCAGATGCACAGACACTGCACTCTGACAGGCATTTTTAGCTCTCTGTCCAGCTTTGGGAAATAATGCAATTTTGAGAATACTGTCTCTTATACTTTTAGCATTCCTAGGCTGGCTCAGTGCCTTGTGAACCCGTGGTTTACGTGTTGCCTTGGTTACAGCAAAAAATGGCCGTTTTTCTGGGCCTTCGGTCAGGCTTCATCCAAAGGTCAGGCTTCACCCAAATTCGAAAAGCCTTGCCCCCGCCTGCCCTCTGAGTCCCTGCACCTGGTGCCTGGGTCTGGGTCGGGGACGGGACCGCGGGTAACTGAGCCTGGACCTGATCCCGGTCCCTGTGCATCCCTGGGTTCTTCTACCAACACCGGACTCTCTTCAGCCATGCGCTCTCTGTCCTTCATGTCCGTTTGCTTTCTCATGGTAAAGATCTGTGCTCAGGTAGAGACAGAAAACTAAAGTTTCCAGACGTGCTGAGGTCACTTTAACAATTCAAAGGCTGTAAGACACCTGCCCGGGGTGGGTCAGCGCGCCCTTTCCTTCCGCCCTCCCCCCACTCCGGAAGTGCCAGCCTCTGCGGTGACCCACGGCCCTACCCGGACGAGGAGGAGGCTGACACCTGGGGCTGAATGAACTCTGTTCTTCCCCGCCCCTGGTTCGGAGGGGACACCGGGATGCCGCTGCTGGGCCCTCCAGCGCTGGGACTAGGACCGGAGGCAAGGGGCGGGGCGAAGGAGGGAGGAGCGGGGCCTGGAGAAGGGAGGGGCGGGGCGACGAGAGGCCAGGGGCGGGGCCGTGAGTCAGGTGCGGAGCGGGGCTGGCTGGGGGGCTGGGGGCGGGGCCAGGAGAAGGGAGAGGCGGGGCGACGAGAGGTCAGGGGCGGGGCCGTGAGTCAGGTGCTGCGCGGGGCTCCAGTGCCGGGGCGGGAAGGGGCGGGGCGAGGCGGGTGGGAGGTGAGCAGCCGGGCTGAACCTCTCAAAGTGCTGGAGAGACAGCGAGAACCTGCCGGGAGGAGCCGCGGCGGGGTCCTGGAATCGCTGTGGACCTGTGTTCCCCAACGTCCGTTGCTGGGCTGGCGGACTCCGGGAGCCGGTCTCCACCCTAGGCGGACTTCGGAATTGATCCTGGACTGCCGGGCGCCGCACCGGGCTCCGCATCGGTCGCTTTTCCGCGGGGCCGGAGCCCCAACAGCTCTGCAAGCGAGAATGCACGCGCTGCCCAGCCTGGACGCGCCCGGGACGGAGCGGCTTCTGCCCCGGGGATTGGACGCGGCGGTGCCAGCCCGCAGGAGCGCGGTGGAGAGACTGGCAGCTGACCGCGCCAAGTACGTCCGGGGCTTGCCGCGGACAGCCGATGACCCCGCTTCTGAGGGCAGCAGCCCTGGGGCGGGCGAAGGGCCGGTGGTCGACCTTCGGCCTCCGGCTCGCACTCCGGGTGCCGTGGCGCGCAGGGCAATAGCGCGGAAGCCGCTGAGGCCCGACTCGCTGGTCATATACCGGCAGAAGTGCGAGTTCGTGCGTGGGCCGAGCACCGACAGCTTCGGGGGCGGCCTGGTGAAAAAGTTCTTGCCCGGGTCAGGCAAGGAGAAGACGTCGGCGTCCTCCGAGAAGTCCCGGGTGGGAGGAGAGGCCACGGCCAAGGGGGAGGAGGCGGCTCCAACCAACCCTGGTCCCGCAGCAACCCCCGGTTCCCCCGCGCGCCCCTGCGTCCGGGCAGCGACCATGGCGCCCCCAGCGTGTCCCAGCGTCTCCGCAGTGCTCACAGCGACCCCAGCGCGTCCCAGCGTCTCCGCAGTGCTCACAGCGACCCCCTCGCCCCCAGCGCGTCCCAGCGTCCCGGCAGCGACCCCGGCGCCCCCCGCGCGTCCCAGCGTCTCCGCAGTGCTCACAGCGACCCCCTCGCCCCCAGCGCGTCCCAGCGTCCCGGCAGCGACCCAGGCGCCCCCCGCGCGTCCCAGCGTCTCCGCAGTGCTCACAGCGACCCCCTCGCCCCCAGCGCGTCCCAGTGTCCCGGCAGCGACCCCGGCGCCCCCAGCGCGTTCCAGCGTCCCTGAAGAGACCCCCGGGCTCCCAGCGCGCTACAGGAGCCCCGCCACACCCGGCAGCCCAGAGCCGCGAGTGACCAGGCGCAGGGGGCTGCAGCGCTCGCAGTCAGACCTCACCTCTCGCTACTCCATGTCCGCGGCGGAATTCGACAGCTTCTTTCAGTTCTGTGGTCTGGAGCCGGAGGTGGTGGAAGCGCTGGGGAGGGAGAACTTCTCCTCGGGCTCCGACCGCCTCACCTTAAAGGTTCGCAGCGTGAGCATGGCCACCTCCGACAGCGGCTTCTCCCGGCATAGCGGCAGCGACGAGGGGCTGCAGGAGGAGGAGCTGATGGAGCAGGTGCCCAGCACCACCTCGGTCATCGAAAGGAACGCCCGCATCATCAAGTGGCTGTACACCTGTAAAAAGGCCAAGGAGACCCTGGGGCCGCGGCTGCAGGGCCCAGCGTGACCGCTCCACCCAGAGGTCGGGACCCAAAGGTGGGCCGGGGTGTCTGTGCGCGCGTCCGGGAGGGCTCTGCGCTGGACGGTCGGGCCTCTGAGGTTGGAAGGGACGCTAGAGATTGAGACCCAGAGTGTTACGCATGACAATCCAGGTTCCCACGGGTCAAGCGCCCTTTCTTTTGAATGTATCACTTATGACTGCCTGGAAACGGGACGCTAACACCATCCCAGTTGGTTTATTACTATGAAAAGAGGGAAAGTTGGAACTACGCAAGCTGTCAGAAAGCAGCTTCACCCCTCCGACACCATCGGTTTGGGTAGAGCTGTCTGTGCCCCACCGACCCCCAGCTGGGGGCTGCTGCCGTCTCCCCCGCCCTGCAGAAGGGCGCGCTGCGGGAAGGGCGCCCCTGCAGCGTCTGGCCAGCACTGGGGCATTCGTTTAGCTGGAAAGCTCTCTGCTTGGCTAAACGTATTTTTAATTGTTTCGAGAGCTTTCTAAGCAGCGCCGGGGAGCGGCGTAGTTACCGAGAAGGAGCTTCTGTGCCGACGGGGCGCCGGGCGGGCTGGTCTCTGGTGTCTGAGCCCGCGTGGCTCTGATGAGACGCAGGAGGCGCGCCTCTCGCCCCTGGACGCCTGTAGCACAGGGCCCAGCTCGTAGCTAAGGAACCGCGTTCTCACTCCCGCATGCGCCCCGCCTTCCGGGCTCAGGCGGGGCGGGTGCTCCCTGGACCGGGAAGGGAGAGGAGGCCGCACCTCTTGGTTCTTTTACGAGGAACCAAGAATCTAAACCTTGCGGCCTCTTTTCTTCTCTTACCTTTCAATGACAACAATGTAACTTTTTTAACAAATTACGTGGTGGAGGTAATTTTGTCTGCCCTTGAGCCAAGCTCACCAAAGAGCTGGGTTTTTAGCGCAGTGGGGGAGGTGCCTGCGTGCCCGCTCCCCGGAGGGCGAGGGCGGAGAGGTTGCCTCCAGTGCCCACGTGAGAGGGAACAAGGGGAGATGAGCTCGTTGCTTGTTTTGGACTCGGAAGGATCACGACTGAAGTGGGTCTTTATCGAATTTTATTTCCCACTAGCGTAAGCCCCCAAAGAATGTAAATAGGTAGTTAAAATTTTTAAATGAAAAAGATTTACTTGTACCTTTCCCAGACTGACTTTTGAACTGAGATGGGTGTAGCAAGGAGATGGCACAAGGCGTCGCGAGTGTCTGGGTGTGGAGGACGAGCGCCGTAGGGGCTCTGCTCGGCCCGAGGGGCCTGGTCCAGGGCGTCCAGCACTAAACTGGACGTGGGGGCCGTGTCCTGTCAGTCACCTGCCTGCACTGACCGCATCCAGGGGCCACAAAGTGAAGGCAGATGGTCTCCAGCTCCACACTCGGTGCCTCTGTGCAGTGATCCGTGGATCCGCACGTCCTGATTGGAGCCCAGAAAAGGGAGAAACAGAAAAACCGCTGCCGGCGGAGGACGTAAAACGTAAACTTGTGAGCCGGTTTCCTCCAGGTCGCCAGAGCTTCACTCACAGGCGGCAGTAGGATTCGTGGTTGGACAGCGACCCGGTGATGCACAAACAGACCGAACTAAAACTTGACGGCCGGAAGTAAAAGTCTTCCCCTCCCATCCCAGAGCGCCCCCCACCCCTGCCCCCCAGCCCACAAGGTCAAGCAGTGTCCTGAAGAGAATCTGGGGCGCAGTCGATGAAGTGCCCTTTCCGAGGCCCGTCCGGGTTTGAGTGAAGGGAGAGTGGGCAAAGTTGGCTTGGCCCGCGAGGGCTGCCCGTGACCAGGAGGCGCAGTGGGGGTGAGGGAGGGGCAGGCACAGCCCAGGGCTCCAGCGGGCGAGCCGCTCTCCCCCTCCCTCCGTCAGACCCGTCTGTCTGTCGAGGCAGCGCCTCCTGCTTCCTGAGCTGTTTCCTGCAGCCGCTCGGAAGGGAGAGACCCGCCCACTGGGCTGCGCACCCAGCGGCCACCAGCTCTGTAAATATTTGCTTCACAAATTTACTCTCCTAGACCGCGAACAGGCTGCGAGGGCCCGGAAACCTCGACCCAGGAGACCTAATGTCTGTGCTCAGAGGGGACTTGGGACAGAGATGGGTCTGCTCCTGGTCACAGCCCCTCGGCTGACGCCGGTGGACTGAGGAACAGCCAGCGGGACCCCGGCGTGCGTGCAGCGGGGCACCCTTCCCCTTTCTCCTGGAGGTCTTTGCCAGCTGCCCCCTGCTCATGGGGTCACTGCTCTGGGACTACTCCCGTTACCTCTGGAAGCTGAGGAAGGAGCAATGCAAGCTGTGATTTCCTTCTAGCTTATCAGGACATTGGTGTTGAAATTCATGCAGCTTCACTTTAGAATTTCATGAAAAACTCAGAAAACCTGAGATGAACAAAGATATGTTTTCTAAATGAAAAAGAAAACATATATCTCATACGGAGGTTTATGTCCCATTGGTAGCTATTATCAATTAAAATGGAAATATAGCCCTGGCTGGTGTGGCTCAGTCAACTGCTGGCCCGTAAACCAAAGAGTCGCCAGTTCGATTCCCGTCAGGGCACATGCCTGGGTTGTGGACCAGGTCCCCAGTAGGGGCATGTGAGAGGCAACCACACATTGGTGTTTCTCTCTTTCCCTTCCCCTCTCTAAAAATAAATTTAAAAAACAAAGAAAAAGAAAATACACCACCCAGAAGTAAATAACAAGTTAATAAGTTTATTACCCCCATGGAGTGAAAATGTTTGCTTTCCAAAGCCGAGAGTTCAGAGCCAGAGAAGGGCTCATGGAGCACGGCCCCAGCCTGCAGGGGTCCAAGGAGCAGACGCTGCCGGTGGGTGGTGCTGGCTCCGCCTCCCTGCGTCTGAGTCCTGAGAGCCGCTCCTCCGTCTGCTGGTGGTTACTCACCTTCCTGTCCTTCGAGTCGAGTCACTGGGACGGCAGGCCTGCCCGAATCAGGCCTGTGGTTTCTGGCTTTGGGGTAGAATATATGTTGCTGATTTTAATATTGTTATAAAAGAGTGGTAACTTGTCCTTTGGGTTAGTTAGGGATAAGCATTGTTTAATTTTAAGGCAAAACTCTCAGATGTCCCACAGCCCTGTTCACCTTGCTCTTTGATAAGAAGGGCCCCTGTGGGGTCTCCGTGGAGGGGATGTGCAGGGCGGGTCTCATCTTGGGCACAGATGCCCTGGGAAGCAGCAGACACGCTCCAGCCCCGGCCCCCTCCTTCCTGACCAGCCGGAGGCTGTGGGCACCTGAGTCAGAGCAGTGCAGGTGTGTGGAGGTGGAGCCGAGTGCCGTGAGGCACAGCGCTCTGTCCTCAGGTCAGACCCGGGCCACCTTAGACACACCTGTGGGTGTGTTTGCCCGCATGTGGGCACCAGGACTGCCTGCCTGTGTTCTGTTCTGCTGGCAGCTCAGTGAGGGACAGTGCTGGCTTCGCCAACAGTCAGAGAACTTTTGTACTGCCTGTGAGTAGTTGGAGGGAAATAAAAATGAAAGGCAGCCAACTTCTTTTCCAAATGTAAGATGCACAAAATATCACAAAGCCGAGGACTCCAGGGAGCAGGCTTGGAAGTATAATGTTGGCCTTGCGACTTTTGCCAGGACTGGTACTGATTCTCAGCTTTTCCTTATTCCGCAGGACCGAGCCTTCCCACTAGCGAGGCCCCTGAAGCATGTCTGGCGTGATTGGAGACCCCAGGGCCATGCTCCCTGCCTCGGGCTTTGTCCAGTGCACCCTGGTGACCACAAGGAACCCTCTGCAGGAGCTGGAGTACCTTCAGAAAGTCCGGAGCTGACAAACCAGGAATTAACTGGGTGACTGCAGCCGCCACCCAGCCGAAGCTCCAGGAGGTGCTTCCTTGTTGGGGTGGCACCACCGGCCTCCAGAGGGCAGTGGACAAGGGACAGGGGAGCAGGGGGAGGGATGTGTTTGGGGGCATCGTTTTGACTGGTTTATAGAGAGACACCACGATGTATTTTAACGGTATCTAGATGAATTTTTAAAAGGAAAAAAAGGCGAAGAGCATGATGAGAACCAAGCCATGGTATTTACTGCCTCCAGTCATCTCGGGCCATTGGCACCATCAAATCGGAGTTTCTGGACCCATGAGGCAGTCTCGTACTGGACACGTCCACACATGCCCACCGACACTCCCAGCGTCACTGCCATCAACCAGGCCCCGGGGTGACGCAGCACTTTCAAAAATCACTGGAGAGCTGCCCGGTCTTCTGCTAATGCCACTCCCACCGGGTGGCAGACTTTGCAAAACTGTGAAAAGATGGGAGTTGAAGCTAAAAGTCCTCTTCTGGCACCTGCACAGTGTGTTGAGAGGCAGCAGAAGCACCGCCGGTGCCGTCAGCAGCATCTGTCCGTTCACTGCCATTTGGAAGCTTTGAGAAGGGGCGGGAACCCTGGCCCCGTGGCACCGGCCTGCCCCCCACGTGTGACCTGTCCCCTCCGAGGTGGAGCCAGGCACCCAGCCGGGGAAGGGCATGTTGCAGGGGAGGGAGGCCTGGGCGCCGGACAGAGCAGATGCTTGCAGATGAGGGTCCCTGTGGCCCGACGGAACCGCGTGGGCACCCAGAGGGAGATGACGGCCTTCAGGCCGGAGCCTTGGGCCCGAGTGTCTGTCGCTGTGGGCCACCCCAGAAAAACTCACCGCCGAGTCTTGCCAGACTCCGTGTTTCATCAAAATACATCTCCTCAGGAACAAGTCTGTTAGAGGGAAGAGTATGGTCAGGAGAGAAATGCGTTTCTCAACGGTAGAATACTGTTAAACCAATTCATTTTGTTATATTGGTGTATGTTTTTATGTTGAATACTGTTTTTATAACTTTTACTGTGAAAGTAGGTCTTTGAGTTACTTAAATATTTATTTTCACACAGTTGTTAGTCTTCAAATGGTTTTTATTCACTTCATATAATTTTAGTTTCACAGAATAATTTTAAGTCACTTTCTCCTTTCTCACTTTCTGTCCTTTCCTCCAGTTGTCTTCTTGTATTTGTTGCTTAATTGCCTTTTGGCCTTTGACTGACCAGAGCCCTCTGTGCTGGCCACGGCCTGCACCTCAGGAGGCCCTGCTGGCTGTCCCACGGGCCTTTCTCAGGGGGGACCCTGGAGGGACAGCCGGTTCTCTGCTCTAAGGTTTCACACACCACCACCACCACCACCCCCACCCCCCGCCGTCCGTCATCCCTCTGAAAATGCTGCTGTTCGCTGGGTTGCACTTAATTAAAAAAGATAATGTCAAAAATGAGAGGAACCTTTAAAGGGCCTTCTCCTGCCCCTAGTTTGTTTATTCGCATCCATTTTGCAGGTGACTACTTTTAGTGAAATTGCTGTGTGGCTTTCTACACTCTGAATAGGAGGAACTGAAGCTGAAGTCAAATTTATCTTACGTCAAAATGGGGCTGACTCACCACCCATTTAATAGATGAAAAAAATTTTTTAAGCATTGGTTTAGTCACCAAGATCTTCCAGAAGTGTCTGTGCCTGCGTGGGGCGTAGGCCAGGGATGAGTCCCACGGAGGGGATCCGTTGGAGGCCGGTGCAGGTCGGGCGGAGAGTGTGCCCGGGCGGATCGGTGCTTCCCCGACCCTGAGGCGTCCCGGTTTGCGGAGCTACTGGAGACACTCGAGTTGTGCAGCTCGGGCTGAATGAAGAAGCTCGTCATCGCTTTTTTGAAAAGCGGCCCGGTGAGTAGCACAGTGGGAAGGAGATGACGGTGGAAACGCGAGGAGCACGACCCGTTCCAAACCTTGGGCACCGCGCAGCAAGGCCCGGGGGAGCGTGGCCCGAGGGAGTCGCCCCGCTGCGCGCGCACATGCGCAGTGTTCGCTTCCGTCCCGGGTGCGGGAAGAAAAAGACACTTTGCGAGATGCTGCCCGGGCCGGCGGGCCAGCGCCCAGCGTGGATGCAGGTAGTGATTTTTACTGACGTTTCTAAACAGAGTTTTTGCTACATGCTTACTTGCAACAGAAGTGCACTGTTGGGTGTGTGCATTAAAGAAATAAAGTATTTTATTGTTTATTGATAATAGTTTGTGAACTTGAACAGTGTGAAAACCATCAGAGCAAGTGTCTGCCTACTGTGATTTCTCCCACCTGTTGTCTTCTTCCTCCTCCGGAAGTCACGTCCCTGGAACATCAGCGGAACGAGCGAGGCACCGCAGCAGTGAGTCACGTGGTGGGTCCCTACGTCAGTGATTTGCCACGGGAATGTTGGCGATGCCTGACTATTCAGTCAGGGGCACCGACCTCTTGTCCCTTAGGTTGTTAAGTAAAGAATGACAGCAGCCAACACAACCGAGCTGTCTGGTGTGAAGAGTCAAACTTATACCTGTTTTTGTCAGATTGGCCACAAAACATATTTTTCGGTGTGTCGCAGAATTTTAGTAGCTAGTTTATGTGTGCCGTGAGATGAAAAAGGTCGAAAATCACCGCTTTGAGTCTTCCTGGAGGTGGCAAGAAGTACAACCAGTTTCAAATATTTAGCACATTGTTTGTCTTTCATTGTTTCATCAGTCTTCATCTTGAAAAATCCCTTTCTCTGTGTCTTATGACCTCATTGCAGAATGAGCACAAAGGTGTTTAGTGCAGCTGCTAACCTTCCGTCACCTCACTCGGCAGTGGAGTTCGCTCTCGGTGTCCACTGGGCTTGGGGCTGGTGTGCCTGGGGCGGGGACCTCCGACCGGCCAGCCCAGACCCTGACCGCACAGATGGGGTGCGCTTGAGCCCTGCAGGTGCTTACCCCCATAGCTCTACCCGAGTCCAAAGACAGGCATCCCAAGGAGAATGAGGACGTCCCTCCTCACGCCCACAGTGACCAGGGTCCAGTCCCAGGGGGCTGTGGACACTCCTGTCTCACCGTGTGGGGCCCGTGAGATGTCCTGTGGGGCCATCGAGGGGTCTGAGAGCTGTAGTCTGTTCTGCCTTCACACAAACTGGTTCTCACCTTTCGGTTGCTGTTTCTGAAAATTCAGTAAAGCAGGAAGCAGTGAGATGATGCCCAGTGGTTTGGTGTTTGAACTTTGCTGGCGTGTGCAGTGATGAACAAATGGGTCTCTACACAGAATCTCAGTGTCCGGGTTGGAAACGTCAGGTGAGAAACCCAGTCCGCCCACAGCCAGGTGCGCACAGCCGGTTGCTGAAGCAGCAGGGAGCAGCGGACGGGAAGACACGTAGAAACGCCGGAAAGCGTGGCCGGCCAGTTTTGTCATTGCCCTCTGCCCAGGGCCCCCAGTCCCGCCACTGATTGTCATCTTTGTGTTGTCTCCTCGAAAACCGTCATTGGAATGAAGTGCTGCTTTCTGAAGGGGAGGATGTATTAACCCATTGATAACTATTCGTCTTTAATTCAGAGTAGAGTGTTGATTTCCTTAGAAAGTGAGACCCTGAAACACAGGAGCAGACAGGGGAGGCCTGGACCTTGGCGGCAGCAGAGCCTGCGGGACGCCCGGTCCGAGTGTGTGTAGGTCAAGGGCCAGGACAGGAAGGTACAGGATCTGCTGAACCCACACCCTGCAGTGCAGCGGTGGCATCGCAGCAGTCGTGCCCCTGAGCTGTTGTGACCTTGACCTAGGATAAAGCCACTGGTGACCACGGGCAGAGCTCGCCCATGTGCGTTCACCACAGTGTCGAGGACGGCAGTGGGTGCCGGGCGTGCCCTGCCACGACGGGCTCACCCTCTGGGAGGGTCAGATGTTCGGTAAGGATGGGGGTGGGGGAATGAGTAATGAGTAGTCCAGCAAATAGACGGCAGGTGTGGGCGGCCAATCTGTCTGAACTGAAAACGGAACCCAGATCCAAAACGTGTGAACAGAGTCAAGCAACAGGCAAGGAACATATGCAAATTGTAAATGGCACAATTCTTTTCACTGGGAGGATGGTTTCATTTTAGTCCTTGGAGGCTGTTTGCCTCGGCAATATAAAGCTTCGGGGTCCAAACAATGAAAAGCAGGACACATTCCAAGTGGGGCCTCAGGACTCAGTCCGCATCAGGTCTGGGGGTCGTTGGGAGGGGCTGCGCATCTCCCTGTGGTTTCCGGAAGTCCACTTTTTAAACCCGTGGCACGCTTGGGGAAGCGTACCAAGTCAATACAGCAAGTCAGCGGTGACTCGAGGACACGCCCTGGGAGGCGGGCCCCAGGGCTCAGGTGGGGCAAGCCAGGCCAGTCACTGGGACGTGAGGACCATGGTTTCCGAGCTGCGCGGCAAGTCTGGGTTGCAGCATCCAGAGCGCGGGGGCGGGGGCGGGGAGTGCACCCCGGGCGTTCTCGCTCGGTGTTGCCCTGCAGGTGTGTCTGAGGTGCCAGAGAGAAAGTGTCCACGTGGCCACCTGCTGAGCTGGGCAGACACTCACTCAGCCAGGACCACGAGCTGGAAGTTACATTGCATTGCGTGGTTCCCACCAAAACATGCAGCCAAAGCGATCTTGAGTACAAGTCCAAAGCTTCCGCTATCACACTCCCAGGTTTCAAACTGGGCTGAAAAGCTACTGTTACCAAACAGAAAAATACTGGCACTGAAGTAGATGTGTGGATGAATGGGACAGAACAGAGCCCAGAAATAAGTCCACACCCACTGGGTCGGTTAGTCCAGGACAAGACAGCAGGGATGCACGATGGGGCAAAGACAGTCTCATGAGTACATGGTGCTGGGAAAACTGGAGCACATGCATGTTAAAAAATGCATAAAGCAGATCACTTTCTCACACCATATACAAAAATAAACTCAAAGTGGGTCTAAGTTAAAGACTTAGAGGCAAGACCCAAAACCATAAAACTCCTAGAAGAAAATGTGGACAGCAAAGTCTTTGACGCTGGTCTCAGCCATATCTCCTTGGATGTATCTCCTTGGCCAAGGGCAAGACAGGAAAAAATGAGCAAATGGGACCATGTCAAACTAAAAAGCTTTTCACAGAGAAGGAAACCCAACCTGCTGAATGACAGGAGGTATTCACCAACGGTACATCCATTAAGGACTTAGTACCCAAAGTACATAAAGAACGTAAGTAACTCAACATCAGAAAATTAAACCAAGCAGTCCAATTAAAAATGAGCAAGGGACCCTAGTAGACATTTTTCCAAAGAGGGCCAGCAGATGTATGAGAAGATGCTCAGTGTCACTAACCGTCAGAGATGCAAATCACAACCACAATGCGGCAGCAGCTCACACCTGTCAGAATGGCCGTCATCAGTAAATTGACAAACAGCAAGTGCTGGCGAGGACGTGGAGAAAGCGGACCCTTGTGCGTGTTGGTGGGGACACAGACGGGCAGCCACTGTGGAAACCAAGTCTGGAGACTCCTCAGAACATTGAAAATGAAGCTGCCTTACGAACCAGTGACTTTACTTCTGGGTTTTTATTCAAAGCCAATGGAAACGCTGATCGGGGAGGATGTGCACCCTGTGCTGACCGCAGCAGCCAAGCCCTGGGAGTGGCCGGCCACCTGTGGGTGGACAAGTGGGTGAAGAAGAGGTGGCCGGGTGAGATGTCACTTGGCCATGAAAGAGTGAAACCCCAGCATTTGTGATACACGGATGGACATGGAGGGCATCATGCTGAGCCCAATAGGTCAGAGAAAGACAAGTAGCATCTGGTGTCACTTGTGTGTGGGATCTAAAGAAACAAGGAGCAAAACAGAGACAGACTCACAGGGAACAGATTGGTGGCCGCTAGAGGGGAGGAGGGTGGCTGAGGGTGGTGAAGGGGACCAAGGGGGACACACTCCCTGCCCCTGTCCAGGTGATTACCAGACTTATCCTGGAGATCACGTCAGAAGGAACATAAATGTCACATCACTATGTTAAACCAATATAATGCTGTTGGTCAGCTACACTTCCCTAAGAATAAATTTGTAAAAACCATGTGTTCCCACCCTCCCACCATCCAGGAGGAACTCAAGGCCCAGGCTCACGCCGCCCCTGTGCCCGCGGGCCCAGAAGGCATCCCCTGCTCACCTGTCCAGGGCTTGTTCTGAAACTGGGCTTGACAGGTGAGCATTAGTGAGGCAGTCAGCTGACCCTGTTTGCCTGAGACTTCCCCGTGTCAGCACTGAGTCCCTTGTCCCGGGAAGGCCCCCGCCCTGCAGACAGGGAGGGGAGGCTGGAAAACCCTGAGAGGCCTCTTTCCCTGCACCTGGGGCACCAGCTCCGGGAGGGAGCTCGCCACTCTCGGGGCTGCAGCCTCAGCAGCAGGACCGTGCCAAGTGCTTTATGTTGGTTATTCCCGGTGACCCTCATGACAGCCGGCAAGGACCAGCATTTTCTGTAGGAGAGACTGAGGTGTGAAGAGGTTTAGTACCTGCCTCAAAGAACTAGTTCGTTGGAGCAGTAAGAGTGTGAACCCATGTCTGCCTGGATGCGAAGGCTGCCCTCATTGTCTGCACCAGGAGGCTCTTCAAGAAGCAAAAGCCAACAGGACGTGGAGAGGACTTACTAACTTGTCAAGTGCACACACGATTCAGCGCCACAGCCTGAGCAGGACTCTGGTGCAGGACACCACCCCCACCCTGCTCAGAGCCCGTTTACCATCTGCCGAGAGGCTCGGGCAGGTCGGGCCGCCTCGGGGTGGCCACGCAGCCCCAGCATCTCACGCGCCGAGAAGTCTCAGAGCTGCAGACATCTGTGTGGCAGGAAGGGCTCTCATGGTTCTGTTCACACTGCTCATTTCACATAAGATGGTTCATGTAGAGAATCGGGGAGAGCAAATGAGTGAAGCTGGTGGAGCCCAGGACAGTGCTGGCCGGCGTCTGGGAACTAAGCTGCTAAACTGGGGGTGGCCCACGCAACCCCAAAGTGCAGACACCTCAGGTGAGTCACGGACCCTGCGGCTGGAGAATGTGGAGACCTTCCAGGTTCCTTCAGCGAAGTGGAGCAGAGCTGTGATCTTTTGGGGGGGCACCCGTTTGCTTTTAAGTACCTGGGAGATGACCACAGTGATTATGAGAGGAGAGGACTTCTTTAGAATGTTTCACGCATCTTTGGGTTTGTGATTTGTTCAGCAATAGTAAAAAAAGGGGGGGCCCGTATGTGCACATTCCGAATACCTGCGTGTAGCCCGTGCACCTTTCAAGGCTGTGCACCTAGTGCCGTTTCACAGGTGAGAAGACAAATGGAGCCAATGTCAACAAGCTCAGCGGGCAGGTAGGGGCAGAAGGAAGCATGACTCACCTGTGGGTGTTCTTGGCTGGGGCAGAGGGAACAGTCTCGACTTGAAGGTCACAAGGTGCGTCATGCTGGGGGCTCACCTCACGCCAGCCCTGCTCAGAGGGTGTTTTCATGGGTTGCTGCGGGAAAGCCACCGTGGTCCGTGGCGCCGGGAACCCTGCCCTCCGGCCCTCTCCCGGCAGGAAGGTTTTCTAGCAAAGATGCATCCACAGCAGCAGTTAAACTTGAACCTCCAACAAGGAGAGGCTAGACCTGTGTAGGCAGCTCCGTGAGGCTCAGGAGCCGGTGCTGGAGCCCCTGGCCCAGCCGGGCCACATCCCAGGTCCCTCTCTGCCCAAGGCTGACGGCGGAGGTAAAAGGAGGGGAACACAACTCCAGGCCTGTATTGCACGGGGAGCACCCAGTGGGTGGCATCTGTCGTCATTATCATTGTGCCAGTCCTCTCAGTGTTGAACCTGTATCTTTCCCTAATGTGTCTGAAATATGCATGAACCGGTGCACATTGTCCAGCTGCCGTCGCTCTGGTGGTTTCTTCCTTTCCGGGTCCTGCAGCTCCCACGGGGACGTGGGCTTGCAAACCCGCTCCAACTATGTGCGTTCCCTGCATCGCAGCCCTCAACACAAAGCACCCGAAGCCGAAGGCGGGTCTGCGGTGGCGACCTCGGAGCGTCTGGAAAGTGTCCCCACCGCAGTTTAGGACAGTGAGGTGGGTCCGCATGTCCAGGCAGAGCGTCGGGAAGGACGCGAACCCACTCTGTGGCCCAGAGGAAGCACCGGGGAGTCCGAGGACTGTGGGCCACTCTGAGACACCTGGAGCCTGAATGGAGTTTGCGCGCAGTGACCAGGCCCGTGGTGCCCAGAGGTTCAGAGTTCAGGAGGGTCTCAGTCCCACCTGTCACTCAGCTGCGACCCCCTGCACCGGTTGGGGTTGCCAGAGCCGGCACAGGTGGGGGAGAGCCCAGTCGCCTCCCCAACGGCTGGGCTGCCCGAGGGCTGCTCGGGGCCTGGCGGAGGCATGTGTGCGGTGGCCTCACTGTGGGGTTTTCCTAAAACCCGTGTCTTTCCTGTGAGATTCTCCACTGAGCACTTCATCCGGTGCAGTGAGAGACCCAGTTCCAGTCTCAGGCTCATTCTTCTGTGTGAAGTCTGTCATATGTTGAGTGCCATGTGCGTGTGGGTCGCATGGCCCTGGTCACATGTGCACACAGCAGCTTATGTGTTAACTTAAAACAGCCTTCCTCTCTCAGTGGAAGGAGAACCTGTGCTAGTCATGAGAAGGCCACCTGACCCCTCACACTGGCAGAGCGGGTTCCGTCACCTCCTTTGCAACGCCGTGGGGCTGCGGTGCAGGAGCAGCAGGACTGACTGTCCCCGTTTTCAGACCGACTCAGGAGAGAGTAGTTTCCAGTGTTGACAAATGGTAGCTTCCAGGCCTCCAATTCTGTCCTACGTTCTGCAGTCGAAATTCTAGGGTGCTCACTGAGTCTGTGGGCTTTCTGTGCACTTTTTTCTGGTTCTTTACAACAGCTCATGTTTCATTTTCAGAGTTTGTAGAAGTAAAAATAAGCTGCAGACTGTTGCCTGAGAACTTACGTCTGAAATCCAAATCTTCAGGTAGGTGGAAAATCCATTCCTCCTCCAACGTCTCTTCCTGTCTGATTAGCCAGCCAGCAGGACCTTTGAGCACAGAAACTCCCCCACGATGCTGCTACTAGCTGGTTAGCCACACGAAACCAGAGCCGCCCTGGTTCCCTGGCCCACGGGCTTGTTTGGAAGACCCCACACTGAGCGGGTGTGCGGCCCCGAGCAGAGGCGGCGAAAAGGGGACATTTCGGGCTCTGGGCGAGGCCCCAGCGGCACCGAATCCCCAGGTCGGGATCAGCGTCTGCAGGCACCTGAGGGGTCACATGCGGTTTGTGCTCAGGAGTCTCTCCTGTGCTGACATGCGTCACACGCGGGGACAGAAGCGCAGACTGAAACTTGGGGCCCAGAGGAAGGCAGAGCTGTGACGACGGCATTGCCACAAGGCCCACCCTGGGGTGCGGAAGCCTGAGAGCTGGACGCGAGAAGCAGCCGTCCCAGGGCACACGGCGGTCCCCACGGCGTGTGGCCGTGTCCTGGGCGGGGCTCGCCTTCTCTCTCCCTGGTGTCGAGGAGCAAGGTCAGCATCTGCTGAGGAAATGGCAGAGAACCTGCATTTCAGAAAACCTCTGTGTTAAAGAGAGTTGGTAGCAGTCAGCCCGTGTTCTTTCTGCTCAGGGTCCACTCGACAGAGCCACACGGGTCAGAGAACATCCGTGAGGTGACGTGGCGGGGCTTCCGGCCACCTGTCCACACCCCTCAGTGCGCAGGCAGGGCCTGCCGCTCCTCCGGCCGCACCCAGGGCACCTCCCTGTCCCGCCCTCTCTCTGCTGGTTTTCGTCATTGGAGCCATCACAGAAGCATCGGTTAGGACTCGGTCAGTAACTGAATGAAAACTCCAAACCTCAGAGCAAAAACATGTATATTTACTGTCCAGAACAACAAAATGCTGCAACTGCTCATTAAAAAAGCCACAGAAAAATGCAGGTGCAATTCTCAGAAACCTAGTTCCTGGTCAGAGCACAGCTCAGGCCCCTCGTGGTCCATGGCTGTGCCCCCCGAGGGAGTCTTACTCGCCCCTGCTCTCTCGGGAGCTCTTTCCCCGCCCAAAGTTCCATCTTCTCCTCGAGAGACCAAATACCTGCCAGCTCTAGTGCAGGGCGAGCTCCACCTGTGCCCTCATTCAAACTCTTGTGTCCCCAAGTCCCTCGGTCCATCGGCCACCCCCACCGTCAGTGTCTGCAGCCCCTTCCTCTGTCCACGTGTTCCCGCGGCATCAGCACCATGAAAGGGGCCGCTGGGCCCACCCCTCTCTGTGACAGCAACAGGGCGGGGCGGGGGGAGGAAAATCTGCTCCGGGGAGGGGGAAAGCCCAGACAAGAACCCCCCCCAGGAAACTAATCTGATGTGTAAAAACAGGAAAAAGTGCCCTGTGGCCAAAACGCAGGGAGTGATGGAGGTCAGAGAGACACAGGATTGCAAAAAAATAGGCCAGAGGCAGATTGCATGCTGTGCAGTCTTAGGACCCAGTAAAGAATACGGATTTTTTAACCTCAAATCTAATGAAAAAGTCATTAAAAAATTTAAGGAATTAGATGGCATCACCAAATTATGTTTAGTTGATGGATTCAAATGGATTAAAGAGACTAGGGCCCCCCTTGGAGTGGAAGTTTGGGGGCCTGAAGCTCCCCCAAGGTGTGAGTCAGCAGGACCCTCGGGGAGTCTGGCCACAGAGGACAGGGCTGGGAAACAGGGTGGGGGCTCAGAGAAGGGGCCCCGGCCCGAGTCCCACAGCGAGCGGTGTTGTTAGGCAGGGTCGCGGAGGGACCAGCAAGACGACATCGGCCCACAGCAGATGGACAGCCAAGAGGACAGGTGTTCTGTCTGTATTTTTTTCCTTCATTGGGAGGGGTGCGTGTTCTTTCAAATGTGCTCAGTAAAGTGAGGACTGAAAGTGCCAAATTTGACAAGGTGTGCCTGGGGGAGGTCAGGTGATGCCTGGAAAGGGAGAGGTGGGCCCAGGTGAGCTGGTGGTGTTGTGGGAAAGAGGAAAGACAAGGCTCTCCCTGGTCGCTGACGACGGGCGACCTGGTGGGAGAGAAGGGCGTGGAGCGTGGCCCCGATCCTGCCCACTCCCCCTGGAGGGTGAAGCAGTCACCTGCCTGCACAGGGCACCGTCCCCTGGGGCTGCCTGTCTCACTGCGCTCCAGGGACACCCGCAGGCTCCTCCCTCAGCTCCTGCTGCCTCGGGTCTTCCAGCTCGTGCTGGGCCATGGGGAAAGGTTTGTGTTTGAAAGACAAGGTGTGCACTCACCATCAAAGTGAGAAGGTTCGGGCTGGAGGAAAAGACTGAGAGGCGTTTGCTGTCGGCAGAGGCGCCGCGTGAACAGTGAGTCAGAGCACTGGCACCAGGCAGGGGACCTCGAGGGCTCGCTGGCCTAATGCCTGCACTTCCCAGACCGGGACACTGAGAACCAAAGGAGCAACGTAAGGTGCCTGAGGCTGAGCCTCCACAGCTGGCCCTGGTTGGTGGTGGTGAGCTGCGGCTCCGCTCACTGCCCCGTGCAGCGCTCCCGCTAGTGTGCCTGCACCTCGTTGACACACGCGGCCTCCAGCCCACGGGTGGTGGCCCCTTCACGCCACAGTGGCCTGTTCTATATGCTAATTTCCCGTCCCCACCATCCCCCGGGCTCCAATGGAAGCTTCCAGGTGGCTCGGTGGCCACAAACAGAAAGGCCCCTGGTCTTGTCCCCGATGTGAGGGAATCATGAAGGTGCCCCCTGGGCCGGTGAGCGCTGGGCAGAGGCAGGGGCTGCACAGGGAGGGCTGAGCTGGCAACGAGCCTTGTGCCTGGCAGTGTGGTGTGAGGCCCGCTGCCCAGCTGAAGAGAAGTGCATCCCCCAAGTGAAAGGCCCAGAGCCTGGGTGAGATCAGAAGTTGAGCCGAAAAGTCAAAAGGGAAACATCTTAAAATAAATCCAGGCCTGAATGGTGAGTGGCCCAGAGCTGGGGTCTTCCTGGAAGGGCTGCCACTGCGCCCGCCCTTGTCAGCTGTGCCCAGCTGTTCGTGTGAAACCTGCATGGCCGGCAGAGCAGCCTTGTGGCCAGCGGGGTCCGTGCAGAGTGGCCAGAGGACCCTGGCCTGAGTCCAAGACAGCGGGCAGGACGCTCGGGCCCATGAGGGTGCAGACCAGACGCAGCCGCTCGAGCTCAACTGGACAGGAAGAGACACAATCTGCAGAACCGTGAACCCAGGGGGCGGAGAAGTGGAAGGACCGTCCAGCCCTACAGTCCTGGAAAGGTCCCTTTGTCCCTCTGTGAGAACCTCTGTCCCCTGCAAGGACTGTTCCTCAAGGGAAGTAGCAATTCTTCTAACCAATTCCTGAACCTTTGTCGTGTTGCAAACCTCATTCCACAGTCTGGCTTAACTCAAGCAGCAGGAGCACTTCACAGAGGACGGCCAACGCAAGTCCACTGCCAGCAGCAGACCCAGCCTCCCAAGGTCACAGGACGTCTGTGGAAAGCCAAGGAGCCCTGAGAATGAGAGCCACTCACGTCTGCACCGCCGCAGGGAAGCTGCGGCCGCAATCCACCCAAGGGCAGCCCGAGAGGGCCGAGCCCCTCGACAGGCGAGCACCTTCCCAGATCGGCGGGCCTCGCCCTCGCCTGGTCTCAGCTCTCTCGTAGGAGAGGCTACGGTCTTCCTTCTCCACTTTTGTTCTGACAGCTGCTTTCCTGCAAGAAACTGTGCAGTCCTTTGAAAGCGCCTTTTACCCAGAATCGCAGGGAAACACCCCCACATGTTAACTGGCGTCAGCAACGGCGTTGCTCTGAGGGCACGAAAATGTGCACAGCGACTAACCGTTTGCTGTGAGTCTCCTTTGTGCTTTCCATTCCATTTCTTGCACATGCCGCACCCGGGTGCCTCCCACAGGCTCCCGCTTTGCTGCCATGACGTGGAGTGACGTCATGGTAAAAGGACACATCCTGGCTGACAAGACCGTGGTCGCTGCCAAACAGGAGCTGGCACTGCGCGGAAGGGCCTGGACTCTGCAAGTCTGCGAGCAGCCGCAGTTCCGGCGGCCGCCAGCTCGCGGTGGGACAGGGAGGCCGGCTGGGCGGAAGCACCGGCCTTCGCTCGCTCAGCTGTGGCCCCGCAGACCCCGCAGCCCGAGGTGTCCTGTGGGCACTGCCCTGAATCCAAGCAGCAACTGGGGACTGGTTTACCGGGGCCGGCAACACCAGTTTTGAGGCAAAAACAGTGCCGTTTCCAGGAGTGAAGGACACACAAATCCGTGTAATTGGAGGCCAGGGTGTGAACTGGCCTGAGACCCACTGACGGTCTGAACTGGGACTGACAGGCAAGGCCGAAGCCTGCCATAAACTGGTGCGTGGGCACGCATGCATGCCTGCCGGCATGAACATGTATGTGCACGTGTGTGCGTGTGCATGTGTGCACTGAGGGAAAGTGTGCCCTGAACAGAGATGGAGGGAGACACGGCTACAGACTGGGGTGAGCTGAGAAAGAACCTTCCAGAAAGCAGAGTCCAGCTGCTGAATTTGCTGGGTTTCTCCCGATGGGACGTGGCAGGATCACTCGCTGTCTCAGACCGTAAGCTGGTCTCACTGGGGCCTCGCTAGTAGACGGTCAGGGAGCACTGGGTGCGGACCTCACCTTCCTTTGCTCCCTCCGCCTCCCGTCCCACGTCAGGTGAGGAGAGGCCTGGAGAGAGTGCTACTGGGTAGGCAACGCCCCGCGCGGCCCCAGGGCCTCCGTCCTGGTGGAGCTGCTGAGTCAGGGGGAAGCTCCGGCTCCCCCGCCCGGTGCCCTCACCCCGCCGGGAGGGTGCCCGCTGCCTGGTGCCAAGGGTTTCATGTAGCTTCAGCCTTTTCCTCCTCCGCAGTGTCAGAGAGGGATTATCTCCGGTCGGGGGGGCCTGGCGCGGGTTGCCGCAGATCACCCACTTGGGGCAGGGCTGCAACAAGCCCAGACCAGGTCCCAGTCATTGATGGGACACAGGTCACCTCACTAAGGAATAACACACAACCGGCCACGATGCCGTGGGAGCCGCGTGCGGATGTTGCCAGCCAGGAAACAGAGGCCTTTCAGACCTTGAGGCCTTCGAGATTAAAAAGATCTACCGAGCCCCCCTCAAAGTGAATTCCAAAGGAGTTTCATAGTAAAGTGTGTCATTGTGGTATTTAAAAACAGTATGAATGAGTAAAGATCTGAGTATCTTCCACTGAGGCAGAAGCAAAGGGTCTCCTACGAAGAGTGAAGAGTCCGCTCTGGCTGCTGTGGCTCAGTGGATTGAGCGCTGGCCTGCAAACCAAAGGGTCGCCGGTTCAATTCCCAGTCAGGACACATGCCTGGGTTGCTGGCCAGGTCCCCAGTAGGGTGTATATGAGAGCCAACCAAACAGTGATGTTTCTCTACTTCTCTTTCTCCCTCCCTTCCCCTCTGTCTAAAAATAAATAAATGAAACCTTAAAAAATAAAGAGTGAAGAATACAGCACTGCACAGTCTCCGTCTCGACCAGCCCTGGCGAGTGCGGGCCATTCCACAGCTGACCCCACTGTCCTTGCCCCGCAGCTGCCCTGCGTTGGCCTCAGACCCCTTCTCTGCAGACCCCTCTCCCTACACCAGGAACCACATGGACACGCATGCTCTGAGGTCTGTGAAGAGTTAGAGACATTTCCCTAAAATGCTGCAGGCACGTGGAAGGTGAGCAGCTTCATCCAAGGCCAGGACGGCAGGAGGGTCTCTCGTTGCCGGTTGGTGTCAGAGGAAATGGCTCTTCCTTCTGGGCCACTGAGATCCAGGCCTCCACCGGTGGTTGGGCATCCTCACCTCTGCTCAGGACACCTCATGGCTCAGCTCAACCCCCACAGCCCCAAACGCTCTGCTGTGCATCTGAACCCCACGGTGCAGTGTGGAGCTGTCTTTCAGAGTCTGGCTTCTCGTTATTCTCACAAATACAGCCCTCACTTGCTCCACAGCCACCCCCCGAACGCCCAGTGCGCACTGTTCTCTTCTAAACAAGACTCGCATTTTTACCCTCGGGGCGCCCTTCCCACCTGCCCTCCAGATCAGGTTTCCACCCACCTGCAGGTCGGCGATAGCCTGATCGCACTGTGCCAGCAAACAGCCTCTGAGCTCCGTGCCAAGGGCGCTTCTCCTCGGGGTCCTCCCGGGTCGAGTGGGAGGGGCGGGGCCCTGTGCCAGCTGCTGAGTCAGTGAGGCGCGCGGCCTCTCTCCTGTCCAGGAGCCCGGAGCGCCTTGGCTGTCTGGCGCCAAACCACAGCCCCAGCTGAGTGGGAACCGTCCACATTCTGCCCTTTGCT